ATTTACGGCGGCTTTCTAATTTTAAAATTTTAATTTTGGTTTGAAAACTAGGGGGCGTCGGCGGGTGTGGACTCCGGCTTACCTAATTTGGATCGACTTATCCAATTGGGATATTTTTGGGCGAACTGGATCCTCTCCTCTGCTTAGGATGGGATCCGCCTGAGCTTCGGATGTGAATCTTCTGAGCAGTTTATTCGGGCAGTTGAATTTTAATTTAATGGCTCTAAATAGGGGTTCATTCTAAAAGCTATAATTACAGCCGTTGGATTAAATTTGAACAACTTTGATGGGCTGCTCATGAGGATCCTCATCCTGAGCTCAGGAGAGGATCCAATTCCTTTTTAGGTGACCCAATCATTAATGTGAGCTTTAATGAAAAGGGTTTGTCAAAACTTTTAATTAACAAAAAATCATATACTAACTTTATTTAATAAAAATGGCTTAAACTTTGATAACAATGGTTCAAATTTTAATGAAAATGACAAAAATTTTACATAATAACCAAAAAAAAAAAAACCAACAAATATTGACACGCGGGATCACGCATCACATCACACACATACACACTTTCTCCCTCACTTAACCGTTCAACATCTTTCTCTCTCTCCCTATTTCATATATTCCCATCCATTTTTCTCTTTTTCACGTCACTCATTCACATCAACTTTTATTTTTTTCACCTCTCCTCGCTCTTCTCTCTCCTTTCACCTCACTCCATAAACAATTTTTTTTTATTATTTGTTTATTTGACTACTCTTTCAATTTTTTTTAGAATAAATTAAGTAATAATATTACAATATCAAAAATAAAGAAAATTTTCATTATTCAGTTTTATGAACACTAATCTGTCATTATTTCTTAAACAGAATATTGACTACTACTTAAATTTGAACACTATTTCATAAACTGAATATTGACTACTTTTTACACCGAACACTATTTCTTAAATTAAACATTGACTACTTTTTAAACTAAACAATATTTCTTAAACTGAACACTGACTATTTTGTAAATTGAACACTAACTATTTCTTCAACTGAACGCTAGTACTATTACTATTTCATAAACTAAACACTGACTATTTCTTAAACCAGACACCTTGTAAACTAAACACCGATTATTTCTTAAATTTAACACTAGTACTATCACTATTTCGTAAACTAAATAGACTATTTATTAAACCAAGTAATAGTACTATCACTATTTCGTAAACTAAGCACTAATTATTTCTTAAACCAAACACTATTATTATCACTATTTTGTAAACTAGTACTATCACTATTTCGTAAACAAAACAATGACTATTTCTTAAACCAAAAACTAACTATTTCATAAATTAAACACTGACTATTTTTTAAAATCAAACACTAGCACTATCATTGTTTTTTAAACTGAACACCGACTATTTTATAAACTAAACACTAAAAGGTTCAAACTTTGAAGCTCTCTTCTCATTATCGTATGAATCACTGACAATAATATTTATATTCTTATAGAGTTAGAATAATGATTTTCACATTTCTATTTGTTCTTTGACATTTCTTCGAACAATTTATTTGACTTTCCTTTAATTTATTCAATACAAAATTAACAACAAAAGCATAAATGAAAGATCAGAAAAGCTAATGTTGTTACATCCCACATCGTCCAAGGGAGTGGATCATGTAAGTCTTATATGTATATTCTCATCTCTACCTAGCACAAGGCTTTTTGGGAGCTCACTGGCTTCGAGTTCCATTGGAACTCTGAAGTTAAGCGAGTAGAGCGCGCAAGCAATCCCATGATGGGTGACTCATTGAGAAATTCTCATGTGAGTTCCTAGAAACAAAATCGTGAGAGCGTGGCTGGGACCCAAAATAGGACAATATCGTGCTACGATGAAGTTGAGCCCGGAATGTGATGGGGACCTGGGGCGGGATGTGACAATTTAGTATCAGAGCCAATCCCTGGCCGGGAATGTGCCGACAAGGACGTTAGGCCCCTAAGGGGGGTGAATATCACCTAGTGGAGTGGATCTTGTAAGCCTTATATGTATATTCTCATCTCTACTTAGCACAAGGTATTTTGAGAGCTCACTAGTTTCGGATTCCATTGGAACTCCGAAGTTAAGCGAGTAGAGCGCGAAAGCAATCCCATGTTAGGTGACCCACTAGGAAGTTCTCTTGTGAGTTCTCAGAAATAAAACCGTGAGGGCATGGTCGGGGCCCAAAGCGGGCAATATCGTGCTACGGTGGAGTTGAGCCCGGGATGTGACAATTGTGCTTTCATTGAGGATCATAATCTAATATTTTTTATTTTAATGTTTTAGCTGGTTACGATTAAAATTAATAAAGAATTCCATAATTTGAACATGGGGTGATGATGAGATGCTACCCCACGTGTAGCTAAGCAAATTTCTCTCTCTCTCTCTAAATTTTTTTGGGGTTTATTAATGTCAGTTTGAATGGATTTGGTTGGCATTCTCTTCTCTCTACCCTCACAGTCTCTCTCTCTCTAAACCTTTTCCTTCCTGATGAAATATTTAAAAAGTAATTTGTGTGTTGCTTTTGCATTGTTGGTTTTCTGTTGAATTGGTAGATGCTTGCTTTCGCACTACTTGCGTGCACACACGCTTTGGGTTGAATAAGTTTTTGTTTTTGTCTTTGTTTTTTTTTTTTTTTTTTTTTTTTTTTATCTCGTCCTTATCATTAAATAAAAATTATTAGGTGACTTTTGGTTAAAACTCAAAGTTTTGAAGCCATTTTCATTAGTTTTCTTATAATTAATTGGGTTAAATTTGGGTTGTTCCAACCATCTAGACAGACGGAAATTGTCATTTAGTATTATATTTTAGTGGTATTTTTCTCAGTTGTAAATGAGAGGTAGATTTTCGCCAAATGCAAATTGGAACCAAATTATTGTTAGGAGGCTTAGTATACTCCCCTACCCTCTAATATAGATAATATCTTTTACTATTAAAAAAAAGGGAAAAAAAAAAAGTTAGTCACTTCATCACTATAGACCAACTTTTCGAGACTTGAAAAAACTCACAAAGACATTTTAACCTCATTTTGACCACTATCGTTTGATTTACATGCATCAAAAATTAAACTCAAAATATACTATATATAATGCGGGTCTAAAATTCGTTCGCAACTAGTTTAGCTTTGCGTTTGATGGATTGCTTTTTCGACGGAGCGGGGTCGATAATCACGTGGCTCCCATATGCTTTGTATCGTGCCTCTTTGGTGGTCCCAAGTTAACGTAAAAGTTGCTGTTGCTTTATTTTGCCGGAATTGGTAACGCCGTAAGTTCGCAACGAACTGACCTCCTTCCGTTATTTCATTTAACGCAAAAGTTAGAATGCTAACGTATGATGATTCACACTACAGATCCCTTAACCGCCCAATCATAGGCTACCAAGTCAGCACGTTGTAAAGGAAATACTCTAGTGCTCCCGGGTCCATCAAAGTCTTGATAAACGGGTATGATCCCAAAGTTATACCGTAGTCCTCCTATTTTTACTTGATTTTCAATTGGATCTCTATAACGTTTTGTTATATTTTGTTTTCATTTTAATTACAGTTGGTTGTATTCTTGCCTACTTATAAATCCGAACCTTTAAATTCAACTTTTTTTTTTTTTTAAATAAAAAACGAATTTTCTCAGTACAATTGATATACACTAATCACATTAAAAAGAGAGAAATAGTTTAAACCAAATACAGTAAATTAAGAAGGAAAACTCTAATAAATATGATGATACGTCGCTTGCAATGACGAGCTTGATACAATATAAATATCTTTATTATGTAATTGAGCCCAAATTCTTCCAATTTTATTGTCACATAAAAAATAAAAATTTGTCAACTGAGAAAATTGTTTATTATTTCGTACACATCTCTCATTTTTTTATTGAATAAGATTCTTGATTAGACATCATAGAATAATACATAAGATAGAAAAATTGGAATTTCTTTCCCGTACTTCCAAATATTTCTTAAAGTGCAAAATTTGTTATTGGGTGTTCTTTTAGTAATTTCAGTACCTGTGAGATTATTAACAATAATTTTTTTGGAGAATGTTGATAAATTCCAAAATCCATTCCATCGTCCTGTAGTGACAACCGTCTTTTTTATTGGTACTGTAGTAGGCCTTGGTTGGGTATTGGAGCAACACTGCCTATTGATAAGTCCTTAACTTTAGGTCTTTTTTAAATTGACTCAACTATGAAATAGAAAACTATATACTATGATGTGTGTTCAAGGAATAGTCGCTTCAAAGTGAATTTTCTCTAGATATCCAAACATAAATATTAGAAACCAAAAATGCGTCTTAATTAAAAAACATGCTTAATATCATAGAATTTAAACAAAATATTTTATTAATACCAGCAAACTAATTACAAAATACAAATCTTCCCAAAAAAAAAAAAAAAGAATCAAACTAGAAGAAGTACGCTAGGATGATACACATCTCTCATTTAAAAATTCAAATTAAAAATAGTTTTGGCCTAATTAATCGGACTTATGGCCACTAAGTACTACAGTCTAATGATATTCTCTTCACTAGTAAGTGAAAGGTTTTAAATTTGATTCTCGTCAAAAAGATGAATTTGAACCACATCGCTAGCCTATTGTAAGGTTTGAGTCAATCCCCTCCTCTTAGTTTAAATAATATCAATCATTGAAAAAAAAAAAAAAAAAAATACACTAATTGGACTGGCGATACTAACGAAAACGAGTTTAGGAACCAAAGTGAAAATCTCAAAAAACTAAACGGACCATGATTCAATTTCGTCAAAATAATAAGAAAACGCGAAAAAACAAATTAGAAAAATAACGCAAGAAAGCACTTCCTGGCATCCTCCCTACAGACGAAACAAAATCCGATCGAGACAAATCTCAGTGAAGTAAAAATCCAACGGCAGCAAGTCGGATCCGGGTTCGGGTCTGTCGGTACGATTCGATTTCATTTTCGGGTGGGGCAGGGAAAGAGGCGGAGCATTTTGTGAGCCTAACAATGGAGGACGATAAGAAGAAGAAGAAGAGGAACAAGAAGAAGAAGAACAAGCAGGGCGAGGCCACCGACGATGTTCCTGTTGCCGGAAACGGACAAGCTTCCCAGGCCGCAGGAGATGTTCATACCGATGATGCCCCCGCCGTCGGCGGTGACCAAGTTTCAGAGGCCGGTGGCGGTGCTCGTTCCGATGCTGAGCGAGATGGAGACGGAGATGTGAATGGGAAGAGGCATGAGAGCAATGGCACGGAATCTGTAAGCTTCAGTTTCATTAATTTACTAATCAGGATTAGCGATTGATAGTTATCTATTACGCATTCGAATTTGAATTGGATCAATCACCAGCTACATTGTGGTTTGTGAATTTATGTTATTTGAATTAGTTTTTATTTTGTGCAGAGATTATTAGCTGAATCTAAGAAAAATTGGCTCAAAAAGAGGTTAGTGTGAGCATTGATTACCTCACAACAGAATTTATATTCAATTGTGATGCGAAAGTTTTTGTCTTGAACAGAAACTAACCCTAGTTTTTACAGGCTGCATTAGAAGAAACAATCAAACAATTGCAAATCGAAAAGGACGTATACATACAGAAAGAGGTAATATAATGTGAATTTCAACTTTGAGAATAATATTGGACCAAATATTAGGGAACATTTATTGTAATTTACAGGATTTAAAGTTTAAACTTTTGATGTTATTTCATACTTTAGGCTACATTAGAGGATACTATTAAACGATTACGGAATGAGAAGGATTTGCGTATACAGAAAGAGGTACTAGATTATCTTTTGATTTTAGATGTTGTACTTGAGAGAGCAGGTTGAAACCTTTTCTTGTCCGGTATGGATCTTTTTGACCATTCCTTTTGGCTTTGTGTATGGTTTATTCAGCAAACGTTAGAAGATACAATAAAGCAATTGCGGGATGAAAAGGATTCACATATACAGAAAGAGGTAATGTCACCTAAATTTACTTGAGGTAAGTAGCTGACAAAGAGTTAATCCGTATATGTTTTCACACTTCGTAGTGCAATTGTTTACTTATTCTGCATGTATTTTCAAGACTGTGTGCTTAATCGGATGATATACAGGCTGGTCTACAGATGGAAAATGATCAATTACAGAGCGAAAAAGTTTTGTGGCTTCAGAAAGAGGTGATTTGAGTTGCATGATAGGGCTCTTTTAAACTTTGTTCATCATTCAATGCAAGTGCACCTCTACGTTTTTACTTCCCCAGAATGCACATAATCATGATTTTTTAGTGTTTGGTACAACATTATTATAAACAAGATTGCAAACTAGAGGAATTGGTTGGTAATGCTGTGTTTGTTGCAGGTTGGATTAGAGGAGAGAATTGGTCGGTTAGTAGATGAAAACGGCACTTTGCATTCGGAAAAGGTTAGAGCTGCTCTTGTGTATTGTAACCCCATAGCTAATAATCAGTTGTCCTCCCTTGATTGCCTTCACTCCTGTTTTGCAAGTGTAAAACTTACCCTACATTGTTCCGCAGGCAAGCTTACAGGAAAAGATTAAACATTTAGACGGAGATAGAGACACTTGGATTCTAAAGGAGGTACTCAAATACTCTAATAACTCTTAAGTGTAAATTGTAGATGAGGAATATTGGGCAATTCTTAGAATTTTGTGCTGAATTCATTGTTATTTGCACCTGAAAAATACATCATTGTAGTTTCATCTTCTGAAACTCTTTTGTTACTTAATCATTATTTTATCATTTTATGTCAGAGACTTAGTTTGGTCCTTATCATGTGGCTCTTACAGGATTCGTTTAAAGAAACAATAGCAACTCTGAATGATGATATTGCTAGATTACGAGCACAGGTATGTAGCTTAATTGACCCATGCCAATCTGCTTGATGGATTCAATTAACTTGTTTTTTGATCTACAAGTTGTCCACATGCATAACTACTTGATTGAGTATGGAGGAGTTTGACTATTGCTTTGCTTTCTTAGATCCTGTATGATAGGTTTGAATCAAGTCAGACTGTCTTCCTTGTTGCATTGCTCATCCTAATTCATGTTCACAAGTAGTTTACATAACATCTTTATATTTTCTTCTGATATGGAAATTAAAACCAAAGCTGGGCAGGTATCAGAATTGGAGCAATCCAGGAATAATCTTGTACAAGAAAATCAACAGCTGATGGAAAACGTTTCTAGTTTGCAGTTGCAAATTAAGAATCTTGAGAGTGTCTCCTCTACTCCATCATCAGACGACCTTGCAAAGGTTTGCTTCCATTTGCTTACCTGATGACGGAATTTTATGGGTAGCTTTATGTACAATTAGGGTACTAAGTTTGTAGGAGTGTTTTATGTTTCCCGGAGAATGAATTCTTACAATGGTGTTTGGAACTTTTATTAACTACTACAAGTGATAAATCTATCAGTTTTACTGAGAATTTTTTTTTTAAAAATAAAAAATCTGACAAACGTCTCTTTTTCTATTATTGATATCTTGACATACTATTTGTCAAAGGATGAAAATATATCTGACTCTGTGTTAATGTAGCATGCTTCGAAACGTGAGGAGTTGAACTCTCAGGTTGAAGCAGCATGTTCACTGGTTGAGAAATTAGTTGCAGAAAATGCAGAGCTTGTTGAGAAGGTGAAAGGCTGCTCCCCTCCCGTGGTTTTCTATAGGAACAACGTGTACAGTCGTGTTATACATCGAGACACCTGTGATTAAGTTTTAGCTATTACTATAAGATTTAGCTGGGCTGACTATTTGTCTGATATATCTATTACTCTATCCTAGGTGAATGAGTTGTATGGTGAACTTGACCGACGGAGCCCAACAGTTGAACTCACTTCAACAGCTTCAACAGAAGAATCTAATACAACAGTTGTTCCTCCTGAAACTGTCAGTGTCATCGATCCCAGATCCAATGAGGATATGTCAACATCAGACCAGAAGCTTGATTCTCCAAAAGATGTTCCAATCAAACAGGAGATGCATAGTAATGGTAATGTGGATTCTGAACATGCTGCTTTAGTTCCAGAGTTGCCAGTATCTGATGAAATTAGTGAAATTGTGCAAATTCCGTTGGATGAGAATGAAGTCGGGAACCCAGAGGTGTCTCTCGAGGATGACAAAAATGCTGCTGTGCCACTTATAGAAGCTCCCCTGATCGGTGCTCCTTTCCGGTTAATGTCATATGTTGCTAGATATGTTAGCGGTGCTGACTTGGTTAACAAGGGTTCTACTTGACTCTAGTTATTAGCTTTCTACCTGTTCATGAGCAGCGGCATAACTTCCTGATATGTTTGTCGACGTTACTATTCTTTTAGAGGTCGGGCCTTTGTTTTGGCCATTTACATTGTTAAAGTATCAAAAAATGTAACTTCTGTTGAAGAAATACTTGTAAGCTGTGGGATTTCAGGGCTTCGCTCCTCTTTTTATGGATCTTTACCCTGTTTGTCGCAGCAGGTCTGCACGTTTTTGGCAATAGAATTCTCATTGCAGTTGCAGGAATTTCGTTGTTTAATCGCTTGCCATGATGATCCACGCCGTAGATGATTTATGAACAAACGGCAAATTTCAGAAACAAACCATTATGGGTCGTCTTCCTGAACGAACAATTTTCAGAACAAGCAAATCATGTTTACAATTAATAAGTACATCCCTTAATCGTTTGGAACAATGTTAAAAAAGGCTAAGCTTTTACAAAGGAACACTACAAAGAATCACACAATTGCTGATATATGACATTTAGAGAAGGATTAATGTATTTGCTCATTCGGGCGGGTGCTGATTTTCTGATGATTACGGCAAGGCTGGCCCTTCTGGGGTGATTGGGGTCTGGACGTTTGAGTCCTTGGACTTGTTGTCATCTGATGATGGCCGGTTCTCAGAATCTGGTGGCCGGATTTCCTCAATCATCCTAACAACTTCCTCCATAGTAGGTCTCATGTCCGGCACCCTTGCCACGCAAGTCATTGCTATTTGAAGCATTTGTACCAACTCTTCTTCGATATTTTGGTACTTCATTAGCTCCACGTCAAACACCTCAGCTGTCCATTCCTCTCGAACAACAGACTGGACCCACCTTGGAAGATCAACGACATCATCATGCCCTGGTGTTTGTACTGGTGCTTTGCCTGTCAGCATCTCAAGGAGCATAACACCAAAACTATACACGTCCGATTTTTGAAAGGACTTCTTAGTTTCGATCACCTCAGGAGCTCGGTAGCCCACACTTCTGGAAGGGATAGTTGTGAGGTTCATGAGAGGAGCTAGGCCGAAATCTGACATGCTGCCATTGAGGTCCTGGGTGAGGAGGACATTGGAGGATTTGATGTTGCCATGGATGAATTTCCCTCCACTTGCAGAATGGATGTGGGCAAGGCCCTTGGCACATCCGAGGGAGATCTTTAATCTGGTTTCCCAGTCTGGTAGATGCTGTCCACTTTCCCTGTTTCCTGCAATATTGGATAAGCGAGAGAATTCATTTCTGAGGGAAAATTCATACATTTATCTGCAAGGCGTATTATTATTACAGTTCCGAGAACAATTACAGCAATACTTCATGGTATGAGAAGTAAGTTGCTAGTCTAAATGCAAAAGCTTTACAATAAACGTTGCATGTCCTCCATCAAAGTTTATTGTAAAGCTTCATTTGAGGATATTATACAAGTTTGCTTCGGAGATTAGTATCATACGAGAGACGTAAAAAGAGAAAGAGAAAGTGAATGGGGGCATACCATGTAATAATGCTGAGAAGCTACCAGCTGGAATGTAGTCATAAACCAGAAGTTTCTCATCTTTGGAGTAATAATAAGCTCGAAGAGGAACAACGTTTGGGTGCTGACTAATCCTCCCTGCATTCTCCATTTGCTGTTCGAACTCTTTTTTCCCGACCACCACTTCTTTAATCCTTTTCACCACCACTGTCGTTCCCTCCTCCAAGATGGCCTTATAAGTAGTCCCATAACTCCCCTTTCCGAGAACCTCAGCTGAAGCTCTTAGTAAATCCTCAAGATCGAAATTGTAAGAACAGCCTTCGAAGAAAACCAGCTTGTTCTTCTCTGCCTCTTGTACCCCACTTCCAAAGTCCTCCTTTGGCTGCTCATTCCTTCCACCTTTTGTTTTCACTACAGCACTGCCTTCGCTGTCTTTTTTCTTCAAACAGCATAGCACGATCACCAGAACTGAGAGAAACAACACAGCAAAACCACCACTTGCAATGGCAATGATAGCTCCGATACTAAGTTTCTTCTTTGATCCAGTTTTTGGTTTGAAGGGGACTGTTGGAGGAAGATTGGGGGATGGAGACGGCGAGGGAGTGATCGAAGTACAACGGTTTAGTGGGGGCCCGCATAACTTCAAGTTTCCTTCAAAGGAAGATGTCGGGAATTTTTGGAGGGTGGGAGGAATCGAACCATTTAGTTGGTTGTGGCTCAAATTCAAATGCATAAGCATTGTTGTGTTGATATCAGGTATAGATCCCGTGAAGGAATTGCTTTGGAGGTACAGTCCATTAAGACGTGTTAAATTTTGGACTGTGGCTGGAATGTTGCCGGTGAAGGAGTTGGACGACAAATCAAGAAATGTGAGATTGGGAGGCAGGGAAGAGGGAATATTACCTGTAAGATTATTGTTTTGAAGGTATATGTAGTGTAAGGAAGGAAGGGAGAAAATATCAGATGGCACATTCCCACTGAGGCGGTTAGACCGAAGGCTAAGGATCATGAGGGCATCGAGCTTGCCAAGAGTGTTTGCTGGAATTGGACCATACAGTCCGGCACCTGGGAGTCGGACGGTGAGCACGCGGGTGCCATCCAAGGTACAAGTGATGCCTGCCCAAGACTTGCAGACCGGGTTAGCAGGATCCCAGTTAACTTTTCGGCCATGAGGAACAGCAGAAATAAAGTCGAGAAGGGCTTGTTTGTCTGAATTGATGTCAGCTATAGTTCGGCAAAGGAAAAGGAAGAGAATTACTGCACCACAAAATAAATGTGGCTTCATCTAGTATTGTTTGCTCAGAAATCCGTTAGCGAGTCAGACTATGAGAGCACACTCAGCAATCTTTCTTCTTCCCCTGAAAAATACACAAAGGTTTCAGAATGGTGCTCGTAATGATTTCTACAGCTTGCAACTAGTGAATGATTGTGGCTGAATGTATAGAGAGAGTATTCTCTTAAAAAAAAATCCAAGAAATCAACTTCCAAATCTTTCGATCAGTGCGAGCATATAGGAAATGGAAAAGACATATAATTTGTTTATACAGAGTTGTCATCGGGAGGGTCACATTTTCGGCCTACCACTCCTCCGAATATTTGTGTAAAACGTGTAAGTTCAAGACATGCAGTGCATCAAGAAAGCATTCAACTCAACATCATTTCAAAGACAAACTTATCAGTAAGAAATTTAACAAAAGAATAGAAAACAAAAAGCGAAAGCATAAATCTTTTCTCGCTAAAGAGAAAGCAAAAGGCTTAAAGCATGCCTCTCAGAATCCTGAAAGAATACCTTTTCAGCTTTTATAATTTTTGCTTAATGGATATAGGATTTCAAGTTCAACAGCGAAGTTCTTGATGAGAAATACGTACAAAAAGAAACTGTGCAAAGGTCTAATTAAACTAGTGTCATAACAATGAAACGAAAAGTTTCACATGCCGAAACTGAAACACACACAACACTGCTACAACTTAGAAATTAAAATGCCAATTATCTAAAGCTTGTCAATTCTACTTCACATGGCATTGGACAATAACACAGATTTTTCCGACTAATGACAAGTCCGCTTGTTAATCCTTTGTTTTTTCAGCCTGGTACAAATTCGACAAAATATTTACAAAGCCAGTTTATTTCTTGAGAAGTATGGTATCGGATTCCTGAAGCCAGTGCTTAATTTCATGGTGAAGTTTAACATAAGTGCATCAATGTCACTACTTAGGCATAGATTAGCAGAGTAAAATACATGAGCTTAACGCTTAATTGAGCAGAACGAGTAGTACTTAAATCAAATTTCTTCCAACATTAATTCATTCTCGAAATCAAATTTAGCCTCCTAAATTTTCTCACCAACCAAACAGAAAGAGCTGGAAAAAGTAAATCTGTGAAATTCTCGCCAATGGAGCTCAAATTGTCCTAATTTTCCACAATACTAACTTCCCGATCCTAAATTTGATTCTAGACGAACCCCTCGATTCCAAAACCCCAGCTTGACCAGAAAGACACCAAATTTACCACTAAATTCTCCAAAAAAAGGATAAAAATCAGCAACGGCAGCAGAAAGAGCTAAACAAATTAAAAAGAAAACCCCAGAAAAATTAAAGACTGGGAAAACAAGACTCACCATTGGAGCCGCAGCTGGAAATGTGGAGGCTTGGAGAAGTGAGAGAGAGAGAGAGAGAGAGAGTGTTCAATGTTCTTGGTGGGTGAGCTTTAACGGCATTCCTTCAAGAAGACGCAGGGAAAAAAGATTAAAAGATCGAAGGAGTGAAAAACAAAGAAGGTGCGTTCTGACTTCTGAGATTCGCCAGCAATGTGTTTGTGTGTAGAGTGAAGAGCGTTCCTCCTCAGCTGGAACTGGCAAGTATGAAGGCCTTAACTGTCAAGCCTCAAGCGGTCACCCAATAAATGCACATTTCTCATTTCTTTGAATTAGTTGCGTTTCACCCCTTATATTTACTAGAAAATTAATTAAAAAAACCACTCACAAAACTTTTTTTTATTCAAAAACTTTTAAACAATTTTCTTTATCATTAAGGTCACTTTATTTTATTATTAAACATATTTTTTTAGTTCAAAACCATCATGAAATTGATCCGTGTTTAAAATTTCTTCGATGCAGTCAATATTTTCAGTAGAAATACCCAAAAAGTTATAAAAAACATATGGAAATGGAGGTTAAGTCTAAACTTCACCTCGTACCGGAGAAAATCTTAAGTTTAGACTATAATCGATAAATATAGTCGATATTTCTGACATATCTGTTAAATATCGGATAAACTCTTATATTTCATCTAAATTCATGTTTGACAATCTTTAAAGTTTTGTTTTAAATTTTCATCCAAAGCAACTAATATCGATATCGATATTTCTACAAATTTACATATCAATATTTAAAAAATTGAATTTGACTTTGATTTTTGTCCTTATAATATAAAAAAGTCCTTCATAATAATAAAGTTGTCTAAGTTTTTTTTAATTAAAAAAATTATTTTGAGAGGGACTTTTTATTAGTTCTTTCTTTAACTGAAAGTGATATACGTACTACGAGTGTATTGAAATCTTTAGAACTCGTTTGCAAGGGGTTTAAAGCATTTTCCTAACAATTGAAAGTGTTTTTAAATATATTTGATAGAAAAAAATTAAAGGTGTTTAAGGATTGTAGAAGTGGTTTATAGAGAAGAAAGGATTTTCAAGTGCATTTCTAGAAAGAACTTGGAATCTTAATAAAAAGTTTGATGTATTTTTAACAAGAGCGTTTGTAACCCGAAATATTTGCTGCGTAAATTGTACAAAAAGGATACCAATAATTTTGAAGTGCTTCTTGAAGAATCTCTAACACTTTTTAAGCGCTTTTAACAACTTATAAACACTCCTAATTGTTTTAATATACTTCCAAACATGACCCAAGTTAAGGCTTTTTTTTTTTTTAATTTTCTACAATTTTACTGTTCAATTCCAAAATGGGATTGAGAATGGAACAGTGAATAGTGAAATTTACTTTTGACTATTGTTGACAAAAATCCGAAAATTACGTTACCCCTGTCATGCAAAAGCAAAAGATATGTCAACTATATTATTTTTTACTGGAATTCACGTGATGCAGCTCCTTCCAAATTCTAAAATGGATCCAAGGATTGATGGTCCGCGGCGAGTTTAAATCTTCTGTATTTATTTTGTGTGTGATATTTTTATAGCTTTTATCATTGATTGATACGTGTTATAAATTTAATCCTTATTAAAATTAAACGTGTCAATTAATAATAAACGACACACATAAAATAGATGCAGAAGATTTGAAGTCAGGTACAATAAGCCATACCTTATTGATTTTCTTTGTTGGCGATTTGCATGCACAACAGCAAACTCTACCCATAAATTTATGAAATTCAGAAGGAAAAAATAGAATTATAAAGAGTGAATTTCACCCTGATGAAGAAGAAGAAGAAGAAGAAAGGTGAATGGTCATTGGCTAAAAGCAATAATTTGGTCAGCGACTTTACTGAAAGCGATATACTTACTACGAGTGTATTGAAATCTTTAAAACTCATTTGCAAAGGGTTTAAAGCGTTTTTTAACAATTAAAATGTTTTTAATCACGTTTGACAGAAAAAATTAAAAGTATTTAAGAATTGTAGAAGTGGTTTTTGGAGAAGCAAGGACTTTCAAGTGCTCTTGTAGAAAGAACTTCAAATCTTAATGAAAGTTGTGATGTATTTCTAATAAAAATATTTTTAACAAGAGCGTTTATAATAAAAAATATTTGCTACAAACCATTCACAAATATTTTGAAGTGCTTCTTAAAGAATTTCTACTACTTTTTAAGTGCTTTTAACCACTCCAAATTGTTTTAATACATTTATTTACAATTTTACTGTTCAACTCTAAAATATAGGATTGAGAGTGGGGGACAGTGGATAGTGAAATTTACAATTGACTATTTATCACAAAGTCCAAAATTTACGTTACCCCTGTCATGAAAAAGCTAAAGAAATGTCAACTATTTTATTTTTATACAGGAATTCACGTGGTGCAGCTCCATCCAAATTCTAAAAAAGAAAAAAAGATCCGAGGACGGACGGGTCTGGTAGCGAGTTCAAATTTTCTGTATTTATTTTGTGTTTATGATTTTTATATAGTCTTTATTATTGATTGAACCCTTTTAATTCTGTTGGTCATAAACTTAACACGTCTCAATCAATAATAAACGACACAAAAATTTGAAGTACGTACAATAAGCCATACCTTATTAATTTTCTTTGTTGACCATTTGCATGCACAACATCAAAATCTACCCACAAATTCATTAAATTCAGAAGGAAAGAAAAAAAGTGGAAATATAAAGAGTGAATTGCACAGTAACTGGATCACTAGTTTTATTGCTAAAAAATAGTTGGGGAAGTTCTCCATACTGAGCTTTGGGCTTTGTTTTATGGGTTCAAAATAGTTAAAGCTGCTAATTTCTCTCATCTTAATGTGGAGGCTGATTCTGCTTTGGTGGTCTTTTTGATTCATGGTTTGCCTAGCCTTAATAATCATCCTCTATATGGTTTTGTCTTGAAGTGCGAAAGTTTGATCATAGAGAACTGGAGTTGTAATGTGCAACACGTTCATAGAGAGCGTAATTTTGTAGCTAACGGGTTAGCCAAATTGGGTTTAAACAGCGAGATGAAGTTTCCAGAGCTTGCAGAGCCTTCTTCTTGTTTAGTTCAAACTTTTTCGGATGACTGTTCTAGAGTCGCTGCAGCTAAATTTGTGGTTCCTTAATGTTTCCTTTTCTTCTGCCATGTTATCGAGAAAAAAAAAATGAAGAAGAAGAAAGGTGAATGGTCATTGGCTGAAAGCAACAATTTGGACAGCGACTTTTGCCAAAGCCCATGTTGTAGCATGTGTTCTTTACGTTTGTTTATGATCACCGGAAGAGCTGCTGTAATTGGATAGTTGTTCGCGCGTGAGCGAACGTATCTCAAACGTCAATGCATATTCACGATGTATTAACGGTTGATAATCGCTTTCTCGTCACCAACATTTAAATCCCATATATGAAAACATCCACCATAGCGTTGACTAATGGATATAAGTAGAAAATTAGAAAATATAATATTTTGGCGTCGGTAAAGGTGGTTGTATGCGATATTATTATACACCAAACATATACAAATCATAGGTCCATATGTATTAAAAGACACCAAACATGTTATTAAATTCTGGGTCATAAGCCACCAACCCAAAATACACTATAGCTTGAAAAGAGTTCAAATCTTCTACGCTTATTTTATTTGTTACATTTCTATGGCAATTATCATTAATTGATGCGTGTTCGTAAACTTAATTCTCCTTAACTTATTGTCTATAAATTTAATACGTATCAATTAAATATAAAATCAAAATGCCACACACAAAATGAATGTAGAAGATTTGAACTCGCTTAAGAACGAATGAGAAAATGCAATGATTCATCCACAAATATAACTTACGGGAACATGCACGTTATTATGAATCCAAAAATATCAAATAAAATCGAGTAATGCTATTCTTACCATATTTTTATACCACCTTAGGTGGCATCTGATGTGTACAGCCATATCATTTAAATTAATCAGCATTTAATTTCAATTAAAAATTATTTTAAAAAATTAATAATTATTTTAAAAAATTGGTTAATTAAATGATGATTGTAGTATACGAGGAGCCTCCTTCTTCCTTTCCTTTCAATTCTGCTTCTTCCTTCCCTTTTTTTCTTGACGCCTGTTTTTTCATTGATTTCTATTGATTTCCATGATTATGATCAAGCTTGATCTCCAAACTCTTGTTGATCCCCGTAGCCCCAATCTCCCCCCTCATTCTCCAATCTTCACTGCTCCTCCATGGCTTCTTTGCTCGTGATTTTTTTTTTTTTCTTTTCAAATTTTATTTTGTGGTTTAGTAGAAGGATTTCATCTGATTATTTCATTAAATAATGTCTTAGCTTTCATGAGACTTAGGAGTCAAAATCAACTTTGTCTGGCGGATTAGGGTTCATACCCAGTTAAGTTATTAGTGCAAGAGAGAGACTTGAAGTCTGCAATTTTCTTATTGAAGTGTTTTAATTAATAAAAAAATTGAAATTGAAATCAAACGATGTGGTTTGTCCAACTCATCTACTACCTAAAATGGTAAAGAAACGTGGTATAAAATTATGATAAGAATAACATTACTTAATAAAATTATATGCATGCTATTAATTACAAATTGACAAATGCGGGTTGAATGCCAAGGACATGTGATATTCACAAAATTGGACCGACCCTGGTTCATGATTATTCTAAAATCTATTTAATACTGTTACAGTGACACTTTTCGATTTCAAAAGAAAATAAATACAAACAACTCAGAGGCATATACCGATACATAGTTATCGTGAGTTGGACTAGTCACTCAGTGTGCATGCTTTCTCGGATTCAAGTTTGAATCGTCCTACTTATAAATTAGGGAGAAAATATTAATTCAACGGCATATTCGATGCATTTTTTTGAATCTTGAAGTTTCTTTCAAGAAATAAATGACACGAAGAAAAGTCCTTTGCTTTGCTCTTGATTTCAGATCTGGTGGTGTATGAATATATGTTGGTAAATTCAAAAACAAATAGTTGCTTTCATATTATTTAGAAAAATCTGGAAAAAGAAAGGAGGTCCCCTCCTTTCCTTGGTACCGTGGCCTGTTTCAGTGGTCCTCATCAGCTGCTGCATCATACCTTCCCCCTTCCCTCTCTGGTTCTCGTTTGAGAGACGTACATCGAAGCGAAATACATTAAATTCTAATAAACAAGAAATTCTTACGTATAATCAGGTTAACGCATGTTCTGGACGGTTTCAATTGCGCTTTCTAGAGACCTGTTCAGTGCTAACTCCAAGTATTTTTTTTTTTGA